GTCCTTGGTTTGTGTTCCTTTCCCTCTCTGTGGATCAGTGAGGAGTCACAGAAGTATTTCTGGATTGCAGAGAAATTTACAGCCACTTGCAATCCTTTTAGGAGGGGTTGTGAGTGTTCATCCTGCATACTTTACCCCTCTGCATACCTAGCCAGGGCAGCCTCAGATGCTCTGGATTTGATGTCCCACATCGAGGGGTTACCAGGACCACAGTGTCCACCAGCAGCAACCAGAACTCTGCAACAGTCTGTGGATTTCTGCCATCTCTTGACTTTGTTAAATGCTATTATTCCTAACACTTCAGTGTTACCACCCCAGGTGGTTGATGCCTGCTTTTTTCCTTCACATTCAAACTGTGCTGCTCTGAGCACCTAAAACTCACTCAAAAGTGAGTTCAGACCTTGTTCAGCTTCCTGACAGCACTGGCACAAGCAAATGTTAGCAGCAATACCATCAAATGATTTCTTTGTAGCATATGTTACAGCAGGACTGTTTCAGCTTGAAAGGACTGAAAAGTTCTTTCCTTTTACCTAATGCAAACACAAGTGACCATAATCTGTAGGGCAGTTTTGTCCCTCTTTCCAAAAAAGCCTAGTGTCTATAATATCTGTAACATTATTTGGGGCTCCATTGCATTTATTGAACGAAATGCCTATTTCACTTCCAGATGACAAACCTAGGTTAGTTGGGTGGCAGAAGTTTTAACTCACCAACATCTATGAATATGCAAGGGAGAATTGGTATTATCTGGTCCCTCAGGAAAAAAAAAAAGGAACAGTTTTGACAGGCATCTGCTTTTCAGCTAAATAATCTGTGAAATGTGAACATGCATTAACATACAGAAAACAGTTTGCAGAGACATGCTTTGTTTTGGAAACTAATACTGTAAAGGATTCAAGTCTGGGGATCTGTAAACATTGGCACAGTCTGCACTGGACTGGTTGGCAGCAGCTGTGAAGGGAATGAGGCACACAGCTGTTTCATGGGGTTTTGTCCTTTTCAGTGTCAGACCCAGTTGTTGTGGGGTGACAGGAAACGAATCAATCACAGCCTCTTGCATTTGTCTTCTGTGTGTTGTGTGAGAAAAAAAGATTCCGAAGTGAAGACTAGGAGTAAATGGATTGCCATTGGTCCTGACTGAAAAAGAAAAGGCAGTTAATTTTAATGTCCTTCATTGCCTGGTGGGAGCTTTAGATCCTTTTTCCCAATAACTTGCATTAACATTTGAGTTTCTCAAACAGCTGAGCACTGGGGAAAGGAACCATAAAGCAAGCAGACAGAACTTTCCAACTTGAAATTCTAGAAAACCTTCAAAACAAATGAGTTTCTTCATTCTTTCTGCAAGAGGACTTAGATCGGATTTTATTTCTAGGCCACAGGCTGTAGACAGTTGTTCAAGTTTCTTTTATCTCATAAAACGTACATTCTTCATGCAGAACTGGAAGCTACTGTTTTGAAAGGAGCCCGCTGTGCTGCTCTGCGTAATTGCCTGAAAGCAGACACTTCAGCCTGAAACCTGTTGCTTTTTGAGGCCTTTGTGTTGTTTATAATAATGAAGGAATGGACATTGGCTATTAAGCGTCTTTCAAAGGGAAAATGCACTTGTGGCAAAAGGGAGAGCACAGAGGTTAACATTTAACCACAGCAGCACTTCAAATGGTTGGGTCGTGGTACCTGTCCGTGCACAGCAGTGCGTCAGCTGCTGACACGGAGCAGTATCAAGTTTAATTGATTGACAGATCGAAAAGCATCATTTGGTTTAAATGAGTGAGTATTTCTGAATCTTAATGTGCTTGCAGAGGTAGTCAAGTTAGGTGTGATATCCCAAAAAGCAACTTTCCAAATATGCTCACGGTAGGAAATATGACACATTCTGTGTGTATGTGTATATACTTGTGCATGTGTGCACACATGCTCGTGCACTCAGTAAGGACTAGGTCAGACTGCTGAAGTTATTCTTCATTTTGTAGGAGCTTCAGAGTGTGATTGATAGAGAGAGTCAGGCTCTAAAGGATATCATGGAGAAACTCCGGATCAAGTATTCTGAAATGTATACAATAGTTCCTGCAGAGCTCGAAACGCAATTGGAGGACTGCAAGAAAGTACTGCAAGATCTAGAAGAGAAGGTAAACGTTGATGAAATTTTCATCTTTATCTTTTTACAATGTGTAAGTAGGTGCGGCACTGTTTGATGAGTGTTGTAACCATAAATTTCCACTCGATGCACTGATTATTTTCATTTGCATTTTCTTCTCAGCAAGAATGTATGCATGAGGAAAACTTCCTCCTGGTAACTCTCATTTTAGAATAACCTTGCAGTAACCACTGTGAATAGAATATTTTTCCTGTCTGTTAAAGGAGGATATGGGGATCTGAACAGCTGACATTGCATCAGGCTTTTCGCCATGCTTTCTCTCTACTGGGGGTATAAACAGTGAAATGCACGCAACACTAAGGAGAAATGGAGCAGTACTGTAACTTTGGGGGCAGATTTTAGACTGGTATTATCATCATTTTTTCTTATTAATTTGTATTGCTTTTAAAAAGAAATAAAAGCTTTAATTTGGTTGTTGCAGAAATAATGATGTTTAATGCTATTTTAAAAGCTAAATCTTAGTTAATTTGATACAATTCAAAAGTTTAATAAACCAGCTTTGACATCCATTTACTGTCTATCAGATTATTCAGTCATTTTGTGTGGCATTAAATATTGAGTGACATATTAACTACAGCTTATTAGTTTTAATTTGCTTAACTTGATAGTTTCTGTTTCCAAATGGAACCAGTGTATTCAGAACCAATAACTGGGTAGGAGAGAGAAGGAGAAGGGAAGTAAAACAGTGTTTATGCTTTGTTTTTTGTGGTTTACTGTTTCATTTACCGAGATAAAAGATTATTCCGATGCACAAATTATATAGGGGAGTGAAAGAACTGATCCTGGAAACTAGGTAACATTTGCTTTTCACGTTCATGGAAACAATATAAACTGTCTTGGAATTTTTCAAAATGAATTTAGGAAGCAAAATAAATCCTAGCGGAAGTGGAGGTCAGGCTGGTTACATACTAGGGAGATACCAACATGTGTTTAATTGAGTTAACTTGTCATATTTTAATGACATTATGCTTTCCTCTAAATCTGCTAACCAAAAAATTAAAATATATTTTACTTTTGATGCCATAAATAATAAATTTATCCTGGTAAGAAGTCTTGAAATTAAAATCCTGCCCTGCTGATGACCAGAGCATTGACAGACGCACCAGTTTTCTGTGAGGAACTGCATGAAGTCAGTGCTTGGTTTGCTTTCTCGTTTCCAAGTGTGTTTCATTGCTAATACACAATTCTCTTCTATTTTGGAAACTAGCACTACAGCCATCAATACTTTTTCATGTTTGGTGTAGTTCAGGGTAATAGTAATGGTCAGGTGTTCAGAGATTGCCATCTGAATTCCTTTCTGCAGGGAGTCTTAGGCACAGTGCAGACTGGACTTCGTAGCTTCTTTTGTCTAAGCATGGGCATTGGAGAGGAGCACTGCAGTTCTTCTTGCCACATATTTATTTTGATTAGAGTGATTTTATCAATACAACGTCTTACTAATGGTACTTTTATAGTGGTCTGACCCTACATGTTGGGATCTATAAAAATGTTAATAGAATTAAGAAATAAAAATTAATACTTAATTTATTAACTAAAAATTATCTTCATTCCTCTTCCCACAACAAGAATAAAGTATTTCAGTATAAGGAGCTTCAAACTAGAATAAGTCCTAGACTAAACCCCTCTTGCATTAAGGAAGCATAAAGCAGTTCAGTGTGCACATGCCCCCTGGGTCCCAGGGCTGAAGCACACAAAGCACCTGCCCTGTTTAACAGTTTCCTGGTGCTTGGCTGACCCTAGCAGCTAGAAGGTTTAGTAAGAAAAGATGTGGCTTTGGGCTAACAGCTAGGATTTTCTCCCGCCTTGCACTTCATCTAGTCCACAGTAACCTAGGAGCTTGCTGTGCTGCTCAGTCCTGTACTCAGGCAGTTACTCAACTTGAGCTCACTTGGAGTTTTCCTCTTTACATAGAAAGGCAGGTCCTCCAGTGTACCAGTCTTTCATTTCTGGCGGGCTCTGCAGAGTGAAATTAAACTCTGCATGCTTGTTGGGCCTCAGAGCCTTTTATTTTAGTGGTAAATCTCTATATTTAGAAATTCACTGTACATCAATGCACTTCCCTGTTCCCTTCTTTGTTACATGAAGCCATAGCTGTCAGCTGAGACATAAAGGTGTCATTCTGGGTTTCTTGCAGCACAAATCTGACTGTGAGCCTTTCCAGTCTGCAGCCTGAGCAGCCTCTGGGGCAGCTGGGGCGAAGCACCCAGGGAGCTGCAGTGTCTTGTTGCTTGTTTGCTGAGGGATTGCCTTTCTGGGCCAGTGACTTTGTATTGAGAGGCAATTATGGAACACCATGTAGAGGCTGAACCTGCTCATGTTAATGCTTTTCCCTGCAAATGTAATTCCATCCCTGGGTTTTTAAGTGACTCATCAAGAGAAACATAGAATTTGAATGTTTTGGTGAGGTGGTGCTCAGAAACAAGTATGTCTTTGTAATCTCCACTGTCCTTCCCTCTTTGCTCTGACAGGTTAGCTCTGAAGTCTTGCAGAGCTCTCCTCAGTATGTGTTGAAAAGGAAAGCAGAAACTATTAACAATGGCCTTCAAGCTATTGAAAAGATGCTGCAACAAAAGAGTGAAAACATTGCAAAAGCCAAAGATGTTCAGAAGGTAATCTTGCAAAAAAATACGTTAAAAGATATGTGGTTGTTTCTACAGAGCCTGGTTTAGCATAAAGTGGTCTTCCATTCGTTTTATGTCTGTAAAAGAAGTACAAGCAAGCATTTAGCTGGTGCATATTTACCAGTTCTTTCTGACAGGAAAATACATGCTTTTTTAACTGGGAATCACACTAGTAGATGCAGAGTGTTCTGTTCTTGTCATATCAGCACCAAAATCTTTGCAAACCCACATGAAGTAAAGTAATACTGCTGTTATCTTTGAGCCTGACCTTTTATTTCATTTCCCCCCTCTCCACATGCAGCAAATCTGGGATATGTTGGACCTTTGGCATTACAAACTCAATGAACTGGATGCAGAAGTGCAAGATATAGTGGAGGAGAATTCCTGCTATGCACAGGAGTTGATGGATATCCTGGTGACACCACTTCAGCAGTACCAGCAGGTCTCTCAGCTTGCTGAGCGCAGAACTGCCATTCTAAACAAGGTAGGTGCAAGTGTAGAAGTTCTTAGTTGCATAAAACATCATCAGAGGCTGTCACATGAATACAAAGTCACAAGTCTGCACAAAGTGCATTGTCTTATTGTAGCTAAGGTTTCTGGAGTGGCAAACATTGCCTCCAGCTGCAATTCCCAAGGACCAGCTCTGCATCATGGTTGATGGGGAACTCATGCCCCTGGGTGGGTGCTGAGATGGTTCTCTATGACTCTACTTAATGGCCTGTCTATTTAAGTAACAATGCCCCCATGAAATGGAAGCACCAAAATTACCTTTGATTAGAGGAGGTAGCCTGAAATCATGAAACTGTTACAGGAAAATTGTTTTTTATTTCACCATACTAATTCATGCTGAAAATGTATCCGGTATGCTTTTAATCTTGTCCCTAGATGCATTTATCCTGTGCAATGTGCAGCAATTCATTTGTGCCTTTCTGTAAAATCCTGTCATTTCCTAGGCTGCCAACAAGATGGAAAAATATGATGAACTCTTGCAGAATGTGAAAGATTGGATAGAAAGCACCAACTGTTTGCTAAGAGCAGATGCTCAAAATGACTCTGCAAAGAGCTTACGCAAACATGCTGATGACCTTCAGGTAAGTGTTGATGCAGATATATGGTCCTGTTAGAACTGGTTGCTCTCTGCAGATGCACTTTTCCATTCTTACGTCTTACTGACATAAATAATTTGCCATTTTCAGGAAATCCTTTAAGTGAAAAATAGTCGTCATTGCTGCTCATGGAATATAGATACTTTTTGATGTTGGGCATATCTGTCTTGTGAAAGTGCTGAACTGTGGTACATCGATCTTCCAAAAATGTGTGATTGTTTTTTGTAATGCTGCCCTGTGGCTGCAGCTAGTTTTTGCAGACTGCATATGCACAGTTCTTTCTGCATTGCTGTGAGATCCACAAAGGCAAAGTGGTATTTTGATGTCCGTGTGTTAGATGGAAGCTTTGAAGTGAGTTGTGGTTTGGAAGGCTGTCCTTACTGTATCTTGAAGGTAGTTCTAATTAGTAATTTGAAAAATCAAATGTTTGCAGTACTATAGGGAAGATCAAGGCCAGACAAGTGCCAAGAGAATTTCTGACAATTTTGTATTTAAAATTTGAGTTTTCTATACATCCATTCCTTGGCTGCGGCCAGGAGAGAAAGCTGGTGCTCTGAACATAGGGTTTTGGATTAAAACTAGTAAGACTTCCTTACAAGAAGTAGATGGCCATTCTGGACTGAAACAGTACAGAGCATGTAGCCACAATGGGGAGATTGTGATTTCCAAAACCTATGAACATTTTTTGTGACAAAAGCTCATTTTCTTCTGTGTTTGTGATTTGGAATGTTCTGTGTGTTCTGGGCTGTGAAACCAATGGATTTAGAAATGCACCCAGGGCTTGCATTAGGGTGGAGATATGCGTTCAGTCCTTTCCTTCATAAGCCACTCTGGCAAATGGATCCCATGCATTTCTTGCAACCCTTACTGTTCTTCATGAAGACATTCAGTGCATTTTATCCAAAAACTCAGTTTGCTGCAGGAGATGGGAAGAAACTTCCCATCGTGAACAACTGGTCTCATATTTTCTGGAGCATTTTGTTACATCTGCTGTCTGCAGGCTGGTGTGCAGAAACCCCTTTTTGGGTGTCTGGCTGACATGTCTTGTTCATTTACTTGAGGTCAGTTGTGACACAGGAGCTGGAGAGTGATCTTTTCCTGGATCTCTTACTTTCCTTTTCTTGGGTCAAACATCTCCCTGAGTTTGAAATCATTTTCTTCATGCCTTTTGTCATGCTCATGTAGACTTACTTTATCTAACTGATTCCCTTAAAATCATGGCATCAGTGTGTTTTCTGCCTGCAGGATGCAGTGGTTCTGTTCCTATAGGAGTGGTGTCTTAGTCTGAGTTAAGCTTTTGGGAGTATGTGCAATGGTCAATGACATACAGGAAATTAAACTGATTCCTTCTGGTCCTAACCTCTGTAAAACTTTCATGTTCACCATTGATGGATCAAACTAAGCTGTTTTTTTGTCTCCAGTTGGCTTTGGAAGACTCAGAGCAAAAGCAAAATCTTCTGCACAATGTCTTTGTGGAGCTTGAGGAGCTGACACCAGTCCTTGAAACAGACAGTGTGATGCAACAGCTAAGTGAAATTGATGGTCAAGTAGCAACTTTACAGCAGGAGATAGCAGAGATTCTTCCACGGATTCAGCATGTGGCTGATGTAAGTCTGGGTGACCCATAAGTGCCTTTTATCGGAGCTTCATCATATGTTATGAAATACAGATTATATTACCTCCATAGCAAAAAAAGGTGTGTTGGCTGTGCCAAGAGAGGAAATTAACTGTTTGGAAATAGCCATCAGAAGGTCTTTGGTAACTAATTTAGCTGTGAAGTTCAGGATTAGCACTGGATGTAGGAAGAAAGGCTGGAAACTAAGATCAGTTCAGCCTGGAGAAGAGACAGCTTGTGGGCTAGGGAGTGGGTCTTACTGCTGTCTGCTGCCACTTAACAGGAGACTATAGACAGGCTAGGGCCAGAGTCTTCTTGGGGGGTACAGAGAAGAGTGAGCAGTTACAGACCTAAGGTATAACAGAAGAAATGACATCTACTTACTAGGAAGGATTTTTTGCAGTGAGATTGGTCAAACGCTAGATCAGGGCCCAAAGTTGGGGTAACATCTCCATCCCAGGAGGTACTCAAATCTCAACAGGATCAGGCACCAAACAACCTGCTCTCACAGACACCAGAGACATATTGAGGTCCCTTTCAACCTAATCTATTCTGTGACTCTGTGAGACCATAGGTACTTAATTCCTGATGATACATAATTTATAATAACTGGCCTTTTAAGTGATAGCAACCATTACATATCCTGCACGAACTGCACTTGTTTTTCAGTGTTTCTACAGAAAATGCAAGCTTCCTTTGGTATTTTTGCTATCTACAAATACTCTTTGTTCCCAAAATCTAGGAATTGGATGCCATTGAATCTCATGTGAAAGTGTTTGAGAAGGACGTTGCAGAAATGAAGACACTCCTGTTAGAATTTTCTGCTAAAGACCAACTTAAACATGGGCAGGTCTGTGAAAGCCTCTATAGGTTTTTTCCCCTATGTATTTATGCCTAAGTTAGCATAAGTATGCTTGCAGAAGCTTAAGGCTGTTTAGTGACTGCAAACCACCATGAACAAGTTTTTAGTACGTGATCTTGAAATGTTAGCATGACATAAATTTTAACTGTCAGGTCAACAATTGTAAGTATTATTTCAGTAGTGGTATCTGCTACATGTTTCTACAGTAGCAAGTAGTATAATCTATAAGGTGCACATTGATAGGGCAAAACAGGTGGTACGTAAGTGTTGTTATCTGTGCTGTATGTGTCTTGAGGGCTTACTTTGGACTGATCCTGTAGAATTGACACCCATTAGTAGCTGAGTGTCTTCAAATGCTCTTCTGGACAGTATCTTCTGCTTTAGTTTGATTTGAATGGAATCCAGTTTGCTTCCAAGACAACTGATCAATATATCACCAAAGGTGAGACTGTTAGGAGACCCTTTCAAGAAGCACAGTCATGGTTTGCAGAAAAACATTTGAAATTAAAGAACTATTGAGAACATGCCCACAGAGAACTGAAGGGTGTAATTTAAGGATGTGTTTGTCAGACACAGCTGCTCTATTTGAGGGTCTCCATGTTTGGGGAAGTTTATGGCCTGACTTTCAGAGCCAGTTGCTGCACAGCAATCTACTAGCACCAAACAGTAATCTGAAAGTTGGAAAATTAGGCCTTATTTTTCCAAAACTGGAGACAAGATTTAGCAGATATTTCTGGAAACATGGGCCGAAGTGACTTACCGTAAGGTGATTTCATGGGGCAGGAACTTCACTGCAAAGGTGCCTTGACCAGGTGTTTACTCGGTCTCCAAAGCAAAGCACTGTGATATCTTTTCTTTCATACCACATGCAGTCCACAGTGTTATCTGTCTGAAATGCAAAAAATATGGGTTCAGTTTCAGGTGAGGGACAAAGTTGTCATCATACCTCTCACAGCTTTCTAAGTCTCAATTACAAAGCTTTGTAGTTTTGTTACCTAGAGAACAATTTTGTAATAGCATTATCTGGAAAAACTGAAGTAATATTTCTTCTGGAAAATAATGTTCACCTACTTCTTTATTTGAAATCAAAGCTGGGATAGTACACTGATTACAAAAAAATCCTGTTACAGACTGTTCATGAATGAGAGAATAAGCATCTCTGTTCCAGCTGGAGCGTTTTGAAATGAAACCTTCTTGAGAAGGAAGTTAATGAGAATGTTAGTAATTAGAAGGCCCAGAGGTGGTTTGGATTTATGCATTTTTACTTCTGAAGTTCTCAGCTGAATGAGTTCCCAGTAGGATTTCATATTTCTCTAGGAGAACCAAGAAGTTGAGTTGGTATTGCCACTCTCTTTCATAAGCTAATTGCTGAGTCTTTCGTAAAACATGTATTGTGGTGTGGAACTGCACATTTCTGTTCATCCCAGACTGATGAAGGTGGCTGTAAACTGTGTGTGTGTAAACTGGGTTTGCACCAGTTTAACTGTCTTTGCTGCTGCTGCTGCTCGAGTTTGAAATGATACACTTAAATAGTAACTAATTAGAGTGTGACCTTTCTGTCATTGTGCAAATTTCATGTATGTATATGCAGGAAAAACAGAATTGTAAATGAATTATTTCTCTGTCTTGCTTTGGACAACCTCACTGGGGATTTTCACTTATTTGTTCCAAGGTTGAAATATTCTTCCTTCTTGAATGGGAAACTCACCAAAGAGAACTTTGGCACATCATGAGCATAGTATAAATTTTCAAGTTGATTTTTCCAACTCCATATCATGTCCATCATCTATCCTGTACCCTGATAGGTTATACTTGAGCATGTTGGTCCCCGGCAGAAGGCTATTGCTCACATGCTGTCCTATGAAGTAGCACTTCAGCTACCAGGAGTGAAAATGCAACCTTTCTCAGTCTTCCGAAGAGCAAGGCAACTCTTGAGAGAATTGAAGGAATTAGAAATAATTACTAAGGAACAAAATGACCTACTGGAGGTAATTGATGCCTGTGTCTTCTGTGTCATGCTTTGGGGATTCTATTGTTCTGTGGGGATTTTTTCCTGTTTAATTTGATACTGCAACAAAGCACACCAAATAGTCTTGAAATACGTTTCAGTTTTCCAACTCAGCCATGGCTGACACCGTATGTATTATCATTGAAGAAATGAAGGCCCAGGTGTCTTGTGACCCAGGTTTGTACACTACATGATTGAAGTCCAGTGTTAGATGCAGGTGCTCACATCTGCAAGGTCTGTGTCCTCAAACTTATCTTGACCATGGAAATTCTTGTTGACAACCATCAGATATATATTGCTGACAGTAGAAGGTGTTTTACTATCCAAATCAGTGAACCAGGAAAGTGGCCATTTCCTACAGCTGTGTCTTGGTTAATTCATTGTTTTGAGGCAGACCAGCATGTGACAGGGAGCTTGAAGATGCTATTGGCCAAACCAGGTTTGGAAACAGAAGTGATGTAACAGCATTAGTGTGACACATGGCCCTAGAAGAAGGCAGTGCTGGGAGCTCAGTGCTAACTCAGGGGCAGTAAGGGTTATGGAACAGCTCCAGGCCTGAAGTAGTATCTCTGCAGCACTTCACTGAGCGATGTGGCTGTACCAGCTCAGGAAGGTTTTAATTCAGGGCCTGCTCATGCCCCATTGCCCAGGTCAGAGGCAATTTGGAGTTCGGTTACGTGTGTTCCCATGTCAGCAGACATATGAAAATTCTCATGTGACCCATCCATTTCCCGGCAGAATGATGGCAGCACCTAGAAAAATACTACGTTGTCTTTGCTGGTTTGGTTTTCCAAACCTATTACATGCAAGCAGAGTGGTTTAGAACATCTAACTGGGTATTTCCAAGGCCAGGCAGACACAAGTGACAGCTGAAACGTGAATGTCCATCTTTGATTTTCAGTTTGTAAGATTAAGAGGATCACACTAAGAGGTGCCACTTAAGCGTGCTACATGACTAATGCATGCTTGGAGTCAGGAAAAAGCAATGACTATGTGAGATCTGTATGATCCTTGCAATCCTTTTGTAGTCCATACAATTTCATATGTCTGAAAAATGGATGTGGTAACGTGCCCTTTTCAGAGTTACCAGATCAAACACTTGAGAATTTTCAAGACACTCCCAAGTCTCAGAAACAGAGTGCTTTGCAATTATAAATTGTTGTCGTGACACTTCTAACTGCTTTGTGTGGAGCAATAGGTCAAGTTAAAGATTTTTCTCCTCTTTCCTAAAGCTTTTTTTTGTAACCTTTTTTTGCTCAGCATTAACCTTTATCTTGTAGACATCCAACACTCTGTAGCTGAGCGAAATTTCTTTGTGAGAAAACAGATTGAAAAAATTGCAGTTCTTGGCAGCTGGGACATCAAGCTGTTCAAAAGAGATTTTCCAGTGCTGCTGAATGGGTTGAGAGCAGCAGTGCTACAATACAAGTGTAGCACCAGTTAAGATGTAACAAAGGATAAAGCTATTAAACGATGGTATTTTGACTGCTGCATTAAAAGGGTAGTAAGGGTATTGATAGAGACTAAAGCAAATGGGTGTGAATTCCTGTACAAATATATATGTAGGGTGTTTTTCCCGGGGGATTAGTCTTTGGATGAGTTTGCCCTGTGTTTTGCTGTGGATGATGCGATGGGATATTGCAGGAGTAACTTTTGTATAATTAAGTTGCAGCGTAACACCTGAAGAAGTATAACAGAAACAAAACCTGCTATAGGTACAGAAAATGCTTTGGGGTAGGATTTTCGGTGACTTACACCTCTGTTGGACGTTGTCCTCTGGTTTTTATTATGGCCTGTTAAGTACCACACCTAAATAACGTCATCAGGAAGAGGAGTTAAGAGCCACACCTGCTTTTACTGTTTTTTTTGTGCAAGAAAGTGTCAGTATTTGCATATCTGATGATTTACTGAGCTCATTTTCACTAAGCTCTTCCAAAACAAATACACTAAAGGCAGATGGACATTTTCCATGGGTAGGTCTGCTAGTGTTACCACAATATGAAAAGTAAAGAGCCAGTGTTAAGCAGGAAATAACTCAAAACAGAGGCAACACTTGTAGGAAAAGGTTCAGTCCCACATATATGGCATAATATGGTGTATTGAACAAAGGATAAAATCAGACTTTGTTGTTGCTGAGTGGAAGGTAGGGACCAGATGAGTTATCTTCAGGCAATTGACTGCATTCACATATCAACCCATGACAGAAGATACTGGAGTCTGTTTACCAAATACATATGTTCTTTAGATAGTCAAGGAAATTTGAGGTAGTACTCATTTAACCTATTACTGTACAGTCCTGTTCATGTGGAAGTGAAGGTATGGGTAACAGAATCTCCCTTGTCTTTTACCTTCTGATTAAAACTGAGCATGAGAAGACCTACTCTTTCTTTTCTCCTCCGATTCTTTAGCTATGGCATTAAGATTATAAGCCACAGTTAAATATCTTTCTCTTCAATTTGGGTTTATTTTTTTAAGTGAGGAAAATAATTTTTTCTTACTTTTAAAACCTGTAAGTAAAATAATAATAATTATTTAGAACCCTATTAGACTGCATTTTCTTGAGAGGGAGTGTTACTATGAAGAAGTGACTGAAGAAAGGGCCCTTCTACTGTTCCTAACAGGAGAGTTTCTTTGCTCTGAAAGGCAGAGTTTGTGCACACTGTGCAGTGAGATTTTTGACCTGTCAGGTTGTTCAGGTGCTGCTCTCAGTGTAGTAAGTTCAAGCCTGTTGAATTCATCGTTTCTTCATTACCTTTGGCAGACACCCGAGGAATAGACCTTAGGTTCTCAGTCTGTGGGTCAGAAAACACTGAGCCACCACATGTTGTACGTAGTCAATGTTTTCACAAAATATTCTGATTTGTAGGTGTAACAACTTCTTCATTACTTGAGACATCATGACAGGCTGTGACTGACAAATATGAGTGTGTGGGGAGATTGCCCATTTCAGCATGAACGGTACAGGTTGGGGGTTGAAGAGATTTTGCTGTCACTGTCAAATGAGTAAAAGTGAATTTGGCTGTTTGTAACATATATGTTTCCCTATAAGCCATGTAAGAAGAGGAAGTGCACATGGTGGGAATACTTATCACTTTTGTAGCTAGTATTCAAATTGTCAGATATTGTGGTTGACTTGTCCTCTGAGCTGCAGTGTCTGCCTAGGGCACAGCACAGTTCATTTTTGGTCAGTGCACAACTGGCTGGCAGTAAAGACTTGAGCACATTAAAAAGCAGGTAGGCTTCCTAACTTGCTGTGAAACCCCGTAATTTCTCTTTTTTCCCCAGCCTTTCATAAATTGCAATGAATGTGATGAAACATGCTCCGTTTCAATTTGGTAGCCAAATTCAAAGTTCTACCCTTGAGTAAGAAGGATGTGCTTGTAGGCAGAATACTCCACCGCACTTTGGCTTGTGGGTAGAGCAGTTTGTTTGTCTTTAGCAAATGAATAATAAACTTAGAATAGGGTTGTGCAAAGTTAGCAGAACACAGTTTCTGTTACACATACCTACAGATGTGAAGGAGGTCTCAGTACTCCTCAGTTCCATTTTTTGCGTTCCTGACTAGTGTGTTTCTGTACTCCTTAATTCAGTATTATTTATGAGGATTACTATTTCACAGGAAACTGTAAAGAAAACCGAAGAATGTGAGCAAGAAATTGAAAAGTTGAAACAACTCTTACAGAACCACTTGGTTGAAATATCACATGGAGATCAGCCACAGGCTCATTGTCCAGAGGTGGGTTTCATTGTTTTCTCTCTCTTGTCTGTTACTTATCCTGACTAACACTAATCATGGTGCAGAGCACTGAGAAATAGCAGTCTGCTGCCCTTCCCTAGCACAGTCAAGCAGGCAACTGAAGCCATAGTGTGGCAATTAACTACAACTGATATTAGTTTGCAAGTTGAATATATCTTTCATAATACACTCCTTATATATACTCATTGTCCTCATTGCCACACTCTGCTTTCCTCAACTGATAAATGCATGTTGCTTTTCTGCCTGCAGTTGGCTGCTTTCTGTAATGGATTAATTGATTATTTAATGCAAAAATAAGACATGTTTAAGGACAGCACAGCAGAAGTCAGGAAATCACTAATTAAATGTAATAGCTATTTATAAAGGGCCTCTGAAATGCTCAGCTTTTTGTAGTCAGTCACCATAAAGTTAATACACTTCCACTGTACTTGCCTAATAACTATAATCACTCCTAAGTACATAGCTGTTCTGCTGTCAGTTGGTTGGATGCTGGAGGCTTTATGTAGTACTAAGCATGACTCATTTCCCAGGTCTTAGTTGTTTTTGTCTCGGAGTACAGGATTTTCTGTTTAATAGCTCTTGTTTCAGCAGAAAACCCGTTTCAGAATTGTAGTATTGCATGAATAGAAGTGCAGTGGAATTGCCCATCTTATTGAGGGATTTCAGATAAAGAAGTGATGTTGATAAAGATTTGGTTTCTGAGGAGTTTATGGCTGAACAGTAGCTGGTGAATGTATGCTGGGAAGTCTCCTCCTGCAGTGAAATACAGAGATGCATTGTTCTTAGTGGGCGTATATAAAAATATGCCAAATTGTCATGGGTGTCTGTTTCTTCACTCCAATGACCTTTTTCTTGCCTCTACCTTTGGAACAGATTTTGTCTTGTGTTTATGAGTCTACGAGAGGAAAACACATGCTTGTCTGAGCAGAGTTCCCATGTCCTTTGAAAATTTGCTGGAGGTCCTGCCTCCAGCTTCCATGTCATGCAGCCACACCAGAGTTATTAACAGAAGAAGCTGTAGTTAAGACAGAACCAGCAGTCTTACTGCTTTCATCTGTCACAGACTATTACTTGCACAACATCATTAATGACAGAGCATGGTGTGGAGAATGCTGTTCTTATTTCAAGCCTAGTATCAAAGCTTGCTCAGAACAAGTGAGCCCAGTGTGCAGTGGGATATTTAGTCGGTTTCAGTTTTCTGAGCAAGGAACAATGCTTCAAAGAGCTTTAGCACTTTTGAGTAATGAAGGGAGTAGGGCAATTTGTTCCTTGCCCTGTCTTACTCTGTTATTTTGCTGTGCTTTCTTTCTCACCTGAAGGCTGGGTGGTAAGCCCTAGCAGAAAACTAAGGGCAGAACACTGGCTAGAGCAATAGTCATGGCCAGGAAGGAGACTAAGACAGATTTACTTCCCCCTTTGTTACTGCAGAGTTACTTGGATTGCTGTTTAATCCACGCAGAACATTAAATATTTTCCTTGTACTTTGTTTGGTACCATTGCTCCCAATGTCACATTCAAAGACATGGGACAGTTTTGGCCCTAGCCATGTCTCTAAAACCCACAGAGTGGTTTGTTTCCTTTCTTTAGGCCAGTTTCAGAAAAAGAGGCTCAGCTCTGAGCTACCCTTATTGCTGTCTTCACCCTCATCAGGGCTATCCTAAGTGTTCAGTGTCAGGTTCCCAGGGAAGGTTGTTGGAAGTAACATCACCTGCTCTGACACACATTGTAATGTAACCCAGCTGCATTCCCTTTGTCCTCAAGGAAACTCATCTTCCCATGGGTATGCAGGACCTAGTTAGAATCAGTTCCAGCCTGCCACATCTTCTTCCAGACTACCAACAAGTGGCAAGTGGTGTCCTGAGCTGAATCTGTTGCTGGTGTTCTGCATATATCCAGACCTCTCCTGCAGTGACAATGGGGAACTGTCCCAAAGCCCTGAAAAAGGAAAAGGGGGAAATAGCCCCAGTCCCAGTAAGATGCATTGCTGGTGCCATCTGTTACATCACTGTTTGGTTAAGTAAGAATAGTGGATGTTTACAGATGTTGTTGCTTCTTAGGGAGAAATGGAAGCTGTAAAAGAAGAAATCATAAAGCTGTGCCAAAGAAAGGAAGATATCCTTTCTGGGATGAAGAATTCCATGTCTGAGCTTCACCAGCGCTTACAGCAAGAAGTGCCTGAATCAGAAGATGAACCTACAGCCTCCCTGTTAGCACACAGTGACTTCACTGGGACTGATGTTTCTGGTCAGCAGGTAAGTGGAGCACCACGCTGTGATCACTTACCTGAGAGCCAAAGAGGGAAGGTAAATAACCCTTCTTCCTCCCAGAGGAGTGGCATGTGAGAGAGGAGTACCCCTGCAGCTGTGAGTCAAAACTACTTCTCCTCCCCTTTGTGCTTCCGAATGCCCCCCCCCTCAGAAGGGCTGAGTGTGATCTGTGTCTAGGAGGAGGTGGGAGAAATGTGCCTCTGGTTATTTTTTAGCATGAGCAGATCCAACATGAAGTTTGTGTCAATCAGTGGCAAAATGCTCGATGTGTAGTTTTGTTGGTAATCAGTTGTTCTGGGATTTTCAATAAATTATTCTCATGGAGCAAAATAAAATTTGTCCCTATTTGGGCTATGATATTGAAACCTAACAGCATAAAGTCCCAGTTTTCAGAGGTGCTTAATGTAGGGTGGTAGATGTTCGGTGCTTCTCCAGCAGTGGGCCCCAACTGGTAACTCCTTTTGGTTTACAGGCAGAAGGGAAGAGGCTTTTGCTGCTCTTGCCATGATTAATTGGATTGTCTCTCTGTGTGTATTTTTGTAGCTGAAAAAAAGAGGAGTGGTATCTCTTCTTCCTTCCTTAGATGAGGAATCAGAAGACTCTTCTTTCCACAACAAGGTGAGTTCACCATATGTATTATATATAGAGTTGTGTATGTAAGATAGAAGATCTTGTCAGAGAGCAAATTATGGAAAATGTGTAAATCTGAAATATTTCAGAACAAGTTGAAATATCTGTTATCACTCCAGAGTATTAAGAATTTGCACTTGAGCCAGCCTACTGATATCCCAGTGCCAGTATTACTCAGCATCTCATTCAGTGAGGTGTGTTCCTGCTTTGGGTGGGATTGCTTAGATACTAATACCCCCTTTGTGGAAGTGTTAGTGGCAAAATGTGGGCCTAAATACCAATGTTTGTATGTGGGGATGGGCTTCAGAGAGAATTAGCCTCTGAAATGCAGAAATGTACATGAAACAGCAAAAATCATTTGTATGTTTGAGCTTAAGGGAAAAAAGGGTATGATCAGGCTATTGAGAATGAGGTTAAGATAGATTTCCTACAGGTGCCCTACAGGTTGCTCTGAAGCTGAGGAGTCTGAATGCTCGGGTGAACGGCAGAGGAGCAAAGCTGGGAATAAAGTTTCATGATGGAGTTAATTGCTTTGGAAAAAAGCTCCATGGCTAGACAGTGCAAAGAAGTCCAAACAGCTTGGATAGAAGTGGTGCCTTTATTCTGATCCAAGCACTTCAGCTTCAAGGTTTCTGATTCTGCACCTTCACTAGTGCAGGATTGTTTTACATACAGGACTTTTTTGGGGACGAGACAGGAGAAAGATTGTTTCTAAGTAGTGTGACAAAAGAATGATCTGAGATCTCTAGGGAAAACTGTCAGTGTCATCCAGCTGACACTGATCTTTGAGCAGAGCTGTGGAGCAAGGGAAGAGGTGGGATTTGGGAAACACAACAAAGATAGATAAACGAGAGAAACAGAGCAAAGTGTTACTAGAAGTTTGCAGTACTTTACATTGCCTGAAGGAGTATCTGACCTTTCTGTTCATAAACTAAAGCTGAGCTGTTACTGTTTTCAAAGGGAAGTACAGCCACAGAGAAAGATGCAAGCTTTTGGCCTTCAGAAAGAGATGGCGAAAGGCACAAGGAAGACAGTGCAACCTCCTGGTCTTCTGATACCTTGTCAGATGGCATTGTTCAGGTAGTGCACTCAGGTTTATCTCCATGGGGATAGGAACTCATCTTTGTGGCAAAGATCTGCCAAAGTCTTAGGTATTGCTGAAGTCTGCAAAGCAAGAGAACTGTAGAAATGCAGGACATGATGATCCTCCATATCACACTAAGTATTGCCATTTAAAATCTCTTTTTCTGTTGCACATATTGATTGGACTCAATGATCTTAAGGATCTTTTCCAACCTATATGATTCTGTGATTCTGTATTTATTTCTTCCAGCCTGGAAAAGCCCCAAAGATAAAAATGCACATTTGGTAGCAACAATTTATTTCCCTAATTCCTTTAAAATACGGGGCATGATTTGTTGAAGAGGTTCTCTTTGTATAGGAGAAGATCAGCATCTAAGACACGCAATCAGCTACAATTTTGGAGCCAGTCTGCTCTGTTCTTCATTGTGTCTCAATAACGTTGTGATAGCTGCAATTGTTTGGCATAACAAAACTCTCTGTGACTACTGTCAGGTCAGGACCACAGTATTTTGAGTAGCTGCTGCTCTTTGTGGCTTCTCTAGCACACCAAGGCAATGGATCACAGAAGCATAGAATCATTTAGTTTGGAAAAGCCTTGTAAGATCAGTGAGTCCAACTGTAAATATAACACTGCCAAGTCCACCACTAAATCATGTCCCTAACTGCCACATCTCCACTAGTACACATCTAGGTGAATGATAAAAATGTTTCCACTGTTGCCTCTCTCTCTACAGGATGAGGATGTAATAATCGAATCACACAGTAAACATGGTGAAGAAACATCTGTGCAAATTTTGGAGAGCACTGAAGGCCCTGGCACAGGTGATGGCAGTCTGGCTATGGTGAGTTTGAAGGCCTGAAGCAGGCTGAACAAGGTGACCTTCTAAGTATGTTGTATGACCTACCTAGTGGGCAGAGGCCCTGGTTTGTTACGACTGTGCTTCTGAAGTTTGTTACAGTATGATATGGTAGGATAGCTGCAACCCTTTGTGAGCCTCTTAATATTGCTGCTTTGGGCAATGCTAGATTTTTATTTGCTCCTTGAAAATGCAGTTTGCTAGGGAACAGAGCAGAGTATTCTCAGGAAGTAAGGTTCTGGCATTCAGAGAGGCAGGAATGGAGGGGTTCAAAGGGGTGTAAACATGCATCAACTATGGAATATTTAAATGGCAGTTAAAGGAGAAATTAAGGAGCTTGACACTCCTATCTGGAAGCTGCTGCTTTGTGGAAGATATGCAAAGGCTAAGACAAGAGTGTGCAGCAGTCTATAGGTTATATACAAAAGAGTGTGTGGAGACACTCCAGGAAGGCCAGGAGCAGCAGGCTGGGGGCAGAGCAGCCTCAGCACGTGGAGTCATAGAATCCTAGAATTGTCAGTGTTTTGGGTCCTCTGTTTGCCTCAGATGGCAGTCACTAATGACAACTACCATCCTTTTTTCCTTAACTGAGGTGGCCACAATGCAGGGTGTACCCTGGGTGACCCCTCCAACCTGGTCTGAATTTTGTCACACTGACATTTGCCTGACCCTCAGGCTCCAGAGCCTCATACCTATTGTACTTGGGAAGGCGAGGCAGGCCAGAAGGGGATTCGGCTGCTACCCTGAACAGAAACCTGTTTCCATTCCCCCCCTTGATTAGGTTTCCTCCTTTTGCCCTGTGGCAGGAGGGTGGGACATCCTGCGCTCCCTGTGGTGTGGCGAGCTGGCACATTGGCCTCAGGAGTGGTAGAGTGTGGCTCCACCAGTCAGTCCTGTCCTCGGAGTCCCTGGTGCTTCTTAACCTTTCGGCTTCCTCTGCCAGCCCCCCCGACAGGACAAGCAGGTTGTCCACAGGTCACGCCTCACAAGTCTGTGGTCTCTGCTGCTGTCCTGTGCCAGCGCCAGGCTCTGGCACTCCCTGCAGCCCGAGCCCTGTACATGTTTTCACAGGAGCTCCCTCTGGGTTACCACAGCCTTTCTGGCACGTGCAGAGAATGTGGCTTTTGGCCAAGTGGACAGATTTTCAGGGAGTGCAGTGATAGGATGAGGGGTAATGGTTTTAAACTTGAGAGAGTAAACTTAGATTGGATATTAGGAAGAACTATTTTACTCTGAAAGTGGTGAGGCACTGGAACAGGTTTCCCAGAGAAGTTGTGGCTGCCCCATCCCTGGAAACATTCGAGGTCAGGTTGGAGTGGGCTCTGAGCATCCTGATCTAGTGGAAGATGTCCCAGCTTATTGCAGGGGGGTTGCACAAAGTGACCACTAAAGGCCCCTTCCCACCCAAACTATTCTGTGATCATGTGATGACACTGAGAGCTGAAACAATGCTTTTGTTCCTGCTCTTTTTCTGCCAAATTTCATTTTAACATGGAACTTGTGCACTACCCCTGATCATCTCAATTGCCTGAATGTGTGCTCTAGAGCTGTGAGAGTGTACAGGTAGGTTTGTTCTTGTGGTGCTGCATTTGATTTACTTACTAAGTACCAGTGTTTGCATGTGTGGAGGTATATACGCACACCTGCAGCCTTCCAAGCAACTGCTGATTATCTCTAAGCACTTTGGACTTCCCTATTTACCGAAGGGTACAGTGCAGTATTGCTTCTTAAAGGAGGGCACACAAGATGAATTACACAAGACATGCTTAAAGACATGCCATTTTTTCTGTGTGAGCTAGAGCTTGAAGAGAGCGTATTTAACTGTAGGAGCTGAACACACGCAACTAGCTTGCAAGCGTTGCCCAACAGCTTGCTTTGCAGCTTCACACTGCATTGCTTCTGCACATAGCTCCCACAGAAAAACATTGCTCCTCAGGGCAGAGCTAGATAGTGGTGAGTCATTGGTTCCTGCATGCTCAGGTGTACCTGTGTGCTCAGGTGTACCCAAGAGCACAGGTGTACCTGTGTGCTCAGGTGTACCCGAGAGCTCAGGTGTACCTGTGAGCTCGGGTGTACCTGTGAGCTCAGGTGTACCTCTCTGCCCAGGTGTACCTCTGTGCTCAGGTGTACCCAAGAGCTCAGGTGTACCTGTGAGCTCAGGTGTACCCGTGCAAATGCAAATCGCTGCCTGGAAACCTGTTACACCAGCTCTTGAGTAGTCTGGCTGCCGAGCTTCCCTTGCTTTTTCCTTTTTCCTCCTCCTTTGTTTTTCCCAGCCTGGGCACAGGGTGACAGAGCTGTGTGACCGTTGATCATTCCGCAGTGTTATGGGGAGGGGTCGGACGATAGACACAGATCGCTAACCACGTCCCTTGCTGTGCTTTGCTGCAGAGGGACCTGCCGCCCCCG